TTGTGGATATAAATAGTTTAGAACGCTTTCATTACGGTATAATGAACTGCTGCAGATGCTGCATTGAACAGTAATAAAGCAAATTATAATTACCCAATTAAATCGTTTCAAACATTTTTTTACATCAACCGAACAAGATACTAAAATAAAAGCTGAAGATACGTATTCTAGTCTAGTACACGATTTTCGGCTGCGTGTTCAATTTTGAATCATAAAACTACAATACTGTATTGATTTTTGCGTATATGTATTTCTACACATTTTCCAGCAAAATTTTTATATAAATAAAAACTCAAAATTAGCCACGTAATTAGCGATGAAAACACACTTGTCAAAGAAAATGGAAACATTTACCACGATTGTTTATTATAAATACGGCTACAGTTGGTGCCGCAGTTAAAATGAAAACAAAATAATTGCAACAACAGCGCCATTTTAAACACTGAATATTAATTATATTGCTTTGTTCGTAAACTTTCACGGCCTAAATTTTATTTCTAATGACATAAATTAGGTTTTGAATCAATTAATGAAGTATGTTTTGAGATACAGCGGCAGCCATATAGTTAAGATCACTTGAAAAACGGTATAACTTTTTCAAAACTAGGCTAAACGACTGGAATTCATTTTTAGATGATTTCTTTTTTAATTTTCTAACACATTTTTTAAATTTTATAGGTTCAAATAAAGAAGTTAGAAGACACAAACTCTTTTTATCGGTTTTGTCATTCCAGGTATTTAATAGCGAAATTAGAAACAAGTATTTTATTCATTGCCTAACAGGCTACTCCTTCTGCTATTTAAAAGAAATTCAAGTCGTTTAGTCCAGTTTTAAAAAAGTTGTACCGTTTTTAAAATGATCTTAAGTATACGGTCCTCACTGTATTGGTGACAAGTTTGAAAAATGTATTACTTTTTTAATTTCCAATACCTTGCTACTTCGTGCTCTATGCATACACTTTTTCAAATTGTTAGAGAACTTCGTCACTTTCGAAGGTTTAGAAATACCGTTTAATACTCGGGCAGCATGGCCCGAACCCAAAGTTCAAAAATTGTTATTTGAATATCAAGCTTCCGTCAACTAATTTAGTTTTACGCATGTTTCATCGAGGCTCGTACATATCTAGTATGACTATTAACGTATGCAGACGGAGTAAGTTAAAAAAATACGTTGAAACCAATTGGTAAATAAAATTATAAAGGAACCCAAGCACACTCAGTTGTACATTTTGTCGCAATGATACGTAATTCGAGTGTTGAAGTGCTTAAAGACCACATTCGTCAAAGAATACAAGCCGAATCGCTTTTTTCAAATTTCTAAACTAGAATACTCCGTTAATCGTCTCACTACCGAGTCTTTGCAAGAATCACTGCACAGAATTACTGTTCCTATTTATTTAGGATATTGTTGTAAGAGGTTTGCTGTCTTACCTTTGACTTTGGTACCAATTAGATTAACTTGATCATTATAAGTCTGCACTATACGAAGAAATCTTATCCAATTGCATTGGCGTTTGTTAAGGCTATAATTTGAAAAGAAAACTTCATCGTAGCACCCATATTCACGTCTGATCTGTAACCGAGAGTAATGACGGGGAAGAATAAGATTTTCCAATCCCTGTGTATTGTATATCGTTACATTATATGAAATCGGATCACGATGATGTGTATTATCGCAAACGATTCCTTCCAAAATTGTTCATACGAACTTATCGATAATTCAGTATTTTGTGACGATTGGATTTTGAACAGGCAATTTGTACGAATTCATTTGGAACCTTTTATAGACGAATGATCGTCATCAGGCATTTTATGCATTTATGAGGGAACTGAGTAGGTGCCATTCAAAGCAGTTGACAGAACGAAAGCGTTTAATAATGTATATGTGTGTTAGTTCCGGTTTATTAAGATCATTAAGGATAGAAATTTCTGTTTGGTTCCAATTTTACAATGGACATTTGCAACTTTAATTTTACACAAAGATCCGCAGCTTAATCATCATCCGTTTTTTCCTCATCAACCTAATCATATGTGTTTCAGTGTGCTGCTATCAAAATGATAATTAAACAATTCCACAAAACGTATTGCACAAGAATGTATTTCAACAGTCGAAGATACTGTTAGAAACGAATGGGACGATGGAGGATTGAAAATTCCAACGTTATTAATCTTCGCAATTAACAATTTCCGAAAAAGAAATGATGTAAAATGTACGTTTAAAGAGCCGGTTAAAGCAAAACTGGTGTACGTTAATTTTTTGCTGGATTGATTTAATATTGATTTAATATTAAATCATATATTTAATTTAATATTTCTTTTGATTTGTTTTTATTATTTCAAGTTAAGGTTTGAGAGCGGCTTGCATAAAAGGATTGTAACAATTTTCTATTTTACTACATTTTACAGAACTTTCGATACATCCTTCGTTATCCACAAATTGACGTTTTTGACTTACACCATTTCTGCTTTCAACGAGTCACGTACATATACGTTTCGCGAAGCTAAAATTGGCAAAGCAACAAAATGGACAGTTATCTTTAAATGTATTCCACTGTGACATTCGAACAACACAGAAATTCTTGTCAATCAAAGGCGAACAAGGTACGACACATTTAACCATATCCTTAAAATATTCACATAAATGAGATTGACTCTCTTTAACACTTTGCACTCGGAGAGTTTTCACTGACGATCTACCAAAAACCAGAACATATTTATTAGCGAACTAGTGCGTAACGCTTTAATGAAAATATAAAATGACAGAACATTGGAAATAATTACTCTATTTAAGTAAAATTCGATAAAACATCGTATCGACGCAGATTTTGAGAAACGAAAATTATTAATATCGAAAGCAGCCTAATTATCGGCAGTTTCTGCCGTGCCACCTCCCGGGGGACGTTCGAGTGCAAAGGGTTAAATCAGCGAACCCCGGCACTGTGCGTTCCTAGAGATTCGATAAAAAGTCATTCATCCGCGAAACCGGCGATTCAACGTGACAAGACGCTGCGATTGTGGCTCGGAGCTGGAGAATTTAACAGGAATGATCGTCGGCGACGATCCGAAGCGGTGACTTAATGAGAAATGTTTGCGGCTACGATTACTTACATCATTATCGTCTAGGAGAGAATAGAGGTCGATCTTGTCGAATCGAATGGACCCCTGAAAGGGATAGATCAACGTCCCTGATGGAATAAGTACGTTCGACCAGACCGATATTCTGACGTCCGTAACTAGGCTTCCTGAATCATTCTTGAATAGACCCTTGTAGGTGGACCGATCGTTAGCGAGAACCAGAGAAAACTCTTTAGGTATTAAGACGCAGGTTTCCATAACAGAGGCCCCGTGGAGGGATACGTTGTAAAAGGCACAACTACGGTTGTCTCCACTGTATAATCACTGTCTTTAACGAATGACGAGGTAATCCCACGGTGACTAAGTGATCGTCGATGTTGACCGCGCGATTGTTTATCTCCCGATAGACCGATCGAACGTTAAGTGTCAGAGCCAGTGGTCGCGCTACCGAGTCACCTAACCGATCGACTCTTCGAAAGACCGAGAAATAGCAGACTCAATGCCGCGAGTTACTCGAAAAAATTGTTAAGTTGAGACCAACATTTACACCTCGTTGCCTCGGTCTCCTCGTTGTGCGGATACTATCGATGGATCAATTAGGAAGCATCACGTAACCGATGAACCACTAAGATTTTCGTGTAATGGACCCGCTGCTGCATTCGACTGCACTCGATCGAGAATTTTCAGAAACGCAGCGAATCGAAACTATGTATATCGTAGGATCGGAAAATGAAATTTCAGTTCCGTGCGTGAGGGTCGTTCGTCCTCCAAGGTGCAAGGGCCTCGGCTGACTGGATAGGATTAACCGACTGATCTTGACCTTGCGACGGGTTACCAGCATTTGCTACCGAATGGGTAGCCCTTCCCCTTCTTTACCTCTTTTCCCACTCACAGTACATGGCCCGCTGTAGACTTTTTCAATGGCGTAGTCTCTGCCGACGATTCGGTTTCGCCGGATATCGTCTGGACTTCGCGCAGCCGAAACCGATCGTCTCGTCCGTATCCGACGACGTCGCTTTCGTTTAGACGTCGACGCGACGTCTTCGCGAGGGTCCAGTGCCGAGAGGACGAACGTTCCAAGCGGAGAAATTGAATCGGAGATTTAATTGGTGGGAAGAAAGCGCGAGGTGTACGCCAATGGAGCTCCTTGCCCCACTATGTTCATCCTGTGGCGAGTGCACTTGGCGTATAGAACGAGTATCGGCTTCTTCACCAGCACAAGGAAGCCGGCTCGTCGTCCTCGTCGTCTTCTTCACCCTTCTACCGTCTCTACAGCGCCATAAAGGAGAACCCACGTGGGCGATTGGGCACCTGTCGCTCCTTGTGCCCTTTCTTTTTCCTTCCCGTTTCTCTTCCACTCTATTCCGTCTTCTTCTAGTCCCTACCATCTTCCCGCTTCCACGCCCTACCATATATCCTTTTATTCACCGCTCTCTTCTCCTCGCCATTTCTTCTACGTAACAGCCTCCTGAAACTGTCTTATTTCTTTCTTTCGTCGCGTTTCCTCAGGCCTGTACCGCCGATCTGCCAACCAGCCTCGACTGCCTCCCCGATTCTTTACTTTCTTTCTCGTATTATCTACTTTAGGTCTCTCCCTCTTTCTTCTGCCCGTCTTCCACTTTACTTCGCTTCCACGGCTCCTTTCCTTTTTCCCTTCTATAACCGTTCGCTCTTCTCGTCACCTGAGAACGCTTCTCTATTCATTACTTTCCATGAAATATTAAACTTCGAACGCTGAAACGATATTAACAGTTTTTATTCGGACGATCGCGCGCCCCGAACAGGAAACCATCGCGACTTTAATGCACCGACGACGATTTTCAGCCGCTGTTTTGCAGGCGTGCTGCGACAACAACCGCGTAAGATCCTAATTAATTATTTTATGAAACTACGAACGTTGCATTTTATGCGACATAAAAGCCCGTCCAGTTATCGACTACGTTCGAACGGCTGACTAATAACGAACCGGGACCATTCGGCTTCTGATTTTCTGAAGACTAATCATCGCGGCTGGAATTTCGTGTCGGAACGCTGCCGCCTATTTAGGCTTCTGTCTCCGCCAGGTTTTCGATTGATATTGATGTTACGTTTCTTTCTCGTTCAGCGATCATTTTATATCTATTACTTTGAAATTAGCTCGACTCCTCGTCTTTATAAGGCAGCATCCAGCCGTTGTACTTATAATTAATGGAAGAATCTTTCTCATTAGTGTTGCTATAGCATTGCTAACGGTATTAGTATTATCTTGTTGAAAATGAATTAAATAACATTTTAAATAGAATCGCGGAATCCACACGTCATAACGCTGTCTCTTCAGGCTTCTGTCTCGCCAGGTTTTCGATTGAAATTGATGTTACGTTACTTTCTCGATCAGTTCTCGTCTCATTTTATATCTATTACTTCGAAATTAGTTCGACTTCTCATCTTTGTAAAGCGACGTCGTGCCGTTGTACTTATAATTAATGAAAGAATCTTTCTTATTAGTATTGCCTGCATTAATAATACTATTAGAATTACCAGGACTGCCTTGTCATTAATGAATCGAATAACTGTTTAAATAGAATCATAGAAGTTAACCCTTTGCTCTCGAAACCATTTTATATCTAAATCCAAAATCGCATTTCTTACTGTATTTTCATTTTACGCGATTTATTTTTTTTTTTATATACATAATTGAGTCTTTTCACTTATACGATAGTTATACTTTTAATAGCTTTTTTCAAATATAAGCTAGCTTGATAATGTAAAAATGATCTCGAAACGTAATATAATAATTCTTAGTGTCGCCTCCGAGTCACCATTCGAGTGCAAAGGATTGATATTACAATTACATGAGAATGGCCCATTCGAAATTTGTTAACTTATAGTTGCTTAAGTGGTAAAAATGGACAATTTGGGAAGAGGAGATACGATTATTCGAGCTTTGCACCTCGTTTTTATAAATGTTGACAATCGGTTACTATAAAAATGAGTCGTATCTCCTCTTCCGAAATTATCCATTTTTGTTTACAAACTGAAGGAAAATTACGGAGAATTTACTGGAATTTTGATTCAAAATAGCAGTTCGCTTGTTTTATACTTCGATATTTCCAGCGTTAGCTAAAATTCTTTGAAATCGTTGATTATTTTACTAATTAATCGTACGAAATCTAATAAACCGTATTTTAGTAATTAATCGTACGATATCTCATAAGCCGTATTCATGTAATTTCGATACAACATTGCGATTCACACGTTTTATAGTTAGAGTGAGAGTTAAGAGCGCCAAAAATTCTTTAAAGCTGTCGACGATTATTTTGATCCTGTAATCGCATATGTTCTAAAAATATTGAGCAGAATGCTAGAGAAGACATTGCTATAAAAAAATCTATAGAATCTGCAAATTCTGCAATCGCTGGTTGTTATTCCATGCAACATTAACCACTTATTTATAATTGATAATTTCAATATTTGTTGTCCGAGATAGAAAAGTGGACAGGATAGGGGAAAATAGCATGTTATCGATATGGTTTCGAAATCATGTAACGTAATGAGGTAGGTGTCGTTAAATTATTTGTCGACAGCACCCTTAGCTAACAGTTTACAGTTTACTTTCACGTTATGAGAAACTACAGCTTTTTCTTTCCCTGCTTGGACGTATTGAAAGTATCAGTACCTGCTGGTAACACGGACAGTATAAGTATACAACAAGAAATACATACCTTGATAGCTTTTCTAGCAAACTGGATTTGGTTGGAGAATGCAAAATGGCCGCGGTATCGAAAATTATAAGCGTAACTGCATAAATTATTTAATCCTTTTTAGTAATATTTCCTTAAATTGGCAGTCAATTGAATGCCAATAAAAATTATTTATAATACAGTCTTAATTATTATTACAAAAACTAGTTTTTTTCAAATATTCCTTTTTTAAATATCGGAAACTTAACTGTAACATAATAAAAATAAAATTACCAAAGCAACAGTTTTTCGACATAAATAAATTAATATTCCGAAGTGCGTAGTATTCAGAATTCCGAGGAGCGTCGAATCAAGCACAAAAAATTATATGACCATTAAAAGGAATAGATATGACCTTCGCGTGTCCTTCAAGCGTACGCTTTCAAAAAAAGCTGAATTATGTCTTCCTCGAAATGGTAAAAGTTTCGTAAGAAACATTTTTCAAATAACGAACAGTTCTGGAGCTAATCGCATGTAGCGATTAAAACGGGACACCCTGTATGCATTAATTACCCTGTAATGATTGTGAAGTCGGCATACGTGTTGATTAAACAGAATTAAAGTAACTCGAATAAGGATTACAATAAAATGATTGAAATTACTTAATTCAGGACCTAAACAATTATTATAAAATAGAATTTTCTGAATATATGTATTATAATATTTTTACCTCTGCGATTTCATAAAAGATGATTACTCTGTATAATAAATATCACTCTAATCCTTTTAACAGTGACGTTTAGGCATCTCATGCGAGATTCTACATGTAATGCTTGATATCGTTATCACGGATCGAATCTTGTATTTTATTTTTAGCGTATTAGATTAAAGATGACTCGAAAATATTATATACAGGGTGATGTGATGCTATCGCCAAATCGAAAAGATTATTATTAACACGTCTGTGTGCTGGTGTTTTCAGGTGACTTTTTGTCCGCGACTATGAACTATCGATTTATGCATCGACACTATAAATAGATGTTATAAAGATTGACTTTATTCGAAGATCATGAAAAGTAGATATATTATTCATCGATAGACTGGATCTGAAAAATTAATTTCAACACTTAAAAT